TTTGACCCTAGCTCCCATACAAAGTCCCCTTCAGAAAATTACTTGAATGTCCCAAATTAACTTATAAACACAAATATCGCGATGAAATTCAGCACAATTAAATATTATGTAAATATAAATATATTCACAAAATTTTATCGGGCTTGGTCCATATTTGCCCCTAGCCCCCATATAAAGCCTCTTTCAGAAAATTGGTTTTTCATCCATAAATTGCTTAAATGTATCGGAACAAGGGAATATTGAAGATAAATGCGATATTATGAAAAATAAATCACATTTAATATTCATAACTGGTGTAGGGTATCATATGGTCGGCCACGCCCGACTATACTTTCTTACTTGTTTATATTTTAATTCGGTTAGAAGTATTTTAATAGGAGGTACAATATTAGCTACTGCTTTCTAAAAAAAATAATATAATTAAAAATTAATTACTTATTTATTTATTGTTTTGAATCAATACATTTTATTGTTTTGAATCATTACCTTTCATGAACAATTTTTAAATAACTTGGAATTAAACCGTCTATAAAGATCTGAAATTACTAAGTCGTGGATTATTTTTAAAATTATTTACAGTCACTAACGATAGGAACAACTTACCGACCCTAAACGGGATATTGCTTTTGATACTAATACTGCAATACTATTTTTTGTTTGCTCTCTTCTAATTAAGGAGTTATATACTTTCAAAAACTTAAGAATATTAGTAAAGGCCTATAATTAGAATAATTAAATCCAAAGCTATATGAAAATTAATAAAATTGTATTTAAAAAAGGTGGTTTTAAAAATATTTGATTTTAATATTAAATATCTTATATGGGCAATTTCGTGTCAAGTGACCCAAGTCAAAAAATAATTTATGTATGTATAAAATAGTAGTATTAATTTGAATATAATGATTCCAGCTAGCGATTAAATACTTAAGTAAAATTTTAATGTATTTTTTTTTTTTGTTACGAAAATGAAATACAAATAAAATTTTAGCACAAAGTGATCATACGTAATCTAGAAACAGGACCTAAACGCGCAAATAGTTTAAAAAATGCTGAAAGTTAAGATTTAACTCAAATAAATCTAAATAGGTTAAAATGCAATATTCATCAAATGAAAGCCGAAAGGTACAACTTGAGAAAGTCTTTAAATGCTTATAACTCCTAAACCAATTAAGAGAGAGACGAAATTTAATATAAAATCATTTTTAATTAAACATATTAGACTTCGTTTAAAAATTATGGAAATGGAAGCCGTTTAGAGTTGTTAACTTATTCCTAAAATAGTATTTTAATGTAAAATATGACAACTTACTTTTTAATTTTATTTATATAATCCTTGAAGATAATTACTTTTTGGTATATATTTAATAAACTTCACCAATTAACAAAACCTTCTTAAATGTTTATTAACAGTTGACTTTTAACACAACACTGTTATATTGTTTTTTATTACTTAAGATTCACAATATATTAATTACACTATTTTTCTATGAATATTATGAATATTATTCAATAACTCATTTAAGTTTTACAATGAATAATTAAAACTGAACATGACTGGACAAAACACAAAACATCACTGAACTTAGCAAAATTTCTGCATTATTTATTTTTTTTCGCGTTCACGCTAAAAATGGAGTATTTATATTTTTTTTGTTTTTGTACACTTCTTACTCTCATCCGGAAGTAACCTAATTCTTCCAGACGGCAAAAACTATAAATCAATGTATTTTGTTTTTGTAGAATGTGTGCTCTCGTCTGACAATCGTACAGAAGTGACTACAATCCACACTTCAAGATGAATAAAATATAACATTAATGTGAACACTCTTCAAACTGTCTTCCAGAAGTGACATAAACATACAAATCAAGAAGATACAAATTAGGAAACAATGTATTTTGTTATTGTAAAATGTGTGTTCTCACCCAACTCTCATTCAGAAGTCACTAAAACGTATACTTCCAGATGAAAAAAATTCAACATTCATGGTTTTTTGTTTAAGCAAAATGGATGCACTCTTCTAACTATCATCCGGAAGCAACTTAAAAGTATATTTCTAGAAGACGAAAATTCGAAATCAATGTATTTTGTTATTGTAAAATGTGCGTTCTCGTCTGACAGTCGTCCAGAAGTGTTTCTGACGTGGTATCGGGGGTGATGCGCAATCGTTTTGTCTTCTAAATGTTTGAAGGGAAAGGAGTTGTCATTCGGTACCTAACTCTAAGTATGTATTGGTAGAATTTTTGTATTAGTATTGGAGCTCCAACCATTTTCACCACACTTTCCAAACATACATACTTGCATAAAATCGTACATAAAAATTTTAGGAGAAATAAATAACATTTAAATTTCTACATTCGCAGATTTTTTAATTTATTTTGCCCACATCTAAACATTTAATAAATATATTTTTCGGACTTAAAATCTCTCTTTTTGCAAAATAATAAGATTATTTTAAATAATTTTTTCATTTTCAATACCAAAATATACAACTTTGATTTGTCAATTTTAATTTCAACACACAAAAATTAATTGTCAAAAAAATTAAAAAAATATTTTTTTAGTTTGTGAAAAATAAAAATATTTCGGATTGTTAAATGCGATAAAATTGTGTAAAAAATTAAAAAATAGTTATGTGTTTGTGAAAAAACGTCGTTCAAGTCCTATTATCCCGGTAGTTTTGAAGTATTGTGAGAGAATTGAGTTCTCACAAGTGTGTTGAACTTACACAGAACTCGTCTGTGAAGAGAAGGAAATGTTATTGTTGTAAAACAATGTCATAGTCCAACTTCTTTTTATTCTTTGTTTTATAATTTCAGTTTATAATACATTTGTGATTGTAGAAATTTTTTTCAATAATAAAAAAATCAATAAAAGTGCTTCTTTTATTAAAACAAATGCAGATTTTCTTGTGCAATTAGTGACAATTGTCAAAATTTAATGTAATCAAAAAAGATTTCGTTTGGCACAGCAAAAGTGATAATATTTTCCACCATAAGAAAATTTTATTTTACCATAGAACTTTGCTGGCGTTTGCACACAGTCTAAATAAAACATTATTTCTATTAATTTCTGTTAGCACTTCTTTCTACCATTTTTTCTTAATTTTTAACACTTTCTAGATTTTTTTTCAAAATAATCTAGCACTTTTTCCCAATCAGGATCAAAAGATGTAACAAATGTCGTTCAAAAATTTAAAAAAAAAATTATATTGAAAACCTAAATCTTTTTATCCTGATTCTTTTATAATAAAACGCAACACTAATTATTTAAAGAAAAAAATAATAGCAACAACTGAAAAAATAAATTATTTTCCCTTGTAAATGCACATTAAAACTTCAGTGCCTGTTTATGTACCTTATTTATGCTATGAACCGAATTTTTTGCATAACTTAAGGTACGATCACACTTATCAAATATTTGACGAAAATGACGTAACCAATAATTTTTGTAAAATTTTTTTTGATCTTAGTTGGAGAAAAATAATAAAAATAAAGATTTAATAAACTATTCATTCACTATGTATTTTTAACATACCAAATACATATGAAGTATTTTTCAATTTTTTTGTGTTCGACCGTTTTTTTACAAAAACTTTATGATGTGTAATTAGGGTTGCCAGCCTGGCTGGACTTGGCTGGATTGTCCAGCTTTTTTAATGCTTGTCCAGTTTCAAGCTAAAATTTAATTTGTCCAGCTAAATAGAATTTTTTTAGTACACTGCAATAACTTGGGCAATAATTTTTATGTTATCTTTGTCAAATCATGTTAGCCAACACTGTTTGTACATTTGTTATACAACTAAGTTATGATTTCCCTCTTCTATCATCACTGACAACATGTCTCAACACTTGAACAGCTGATGTAATAAATATGATTGCGAGCGATAGTCAATTTCTTTACGTACAGCTTACGTTTATTACGTTTACGATTTTTATACCCTACACCACTATAGTGGGGAGGGTATTATACGTTTGTGCTGATGTTTGTAACACACAAAAATATTGGTCCTACACCCACTTTAAAGTATACCGATCGACTCAGAATCACTTTTTGAGTCGATTAAGACATGTCCGTCCGTCCGTCTGTCCGGCTGGCTGTCAATGTAAACCTTGTGCGCAAGGTACAGGCCGCAATTTTCAAAGTAATTTGATGAAATTTGGACCAAACATGTTTTTTGGCACAGGGACGAAGACTATTAAAATTGGTTGAAAGCGGCCCATTATTTCACCTAGCCCCCATACAACCGTACCTCCCGATTTGGGATTTTTATGCCATTATTACGTCAAATATACTAGTATCTCTCTAAAAATTGGCATAAATATGTTTTATATAAGTATAAATGACACTGCAAATTTTCGTAATGATCGGCCCTTATTTGACCCTAGCCCCCATACAAACCCCCTTTCAAAAAATGTCTTAAACGTCTAAAATTGACTTGTAACCATTTGTATCGCAATGAAACTCAACATAACTAACTGTTATTTACAAAATATATCCTTTTCCCAAATTGAATGAGTATCGGCCCATGTTTGACCTATACTCCTATATAATTATATATTTATATCAAAAATGGCGCTTTTTCAAATCTTTTGCTCTTAAAAACTAAGTTAACGAAGTGATCGGGGAAAACTAAAAATATATTCGTACTCTATGGACTAAAACGGAATTGTTATATGAGAACCCCTGCATTTTTTTGGTGTATCACTGTGAAATTATTTACACAAAACCAAAATTAACATTTTCTCTGCATTTTTTTATGTCCAGCTTTTTTAAAAACCCAATGTCCAGCTTTTTGCGAATCGGAATCTGGCAACCCTATGTGTAATGTACAATAAAGGCCTGCACAAGACAACAATAATGCGACAATTTGTTAAAGAAATATCGTGTGCGCCATTATAAGCACACGAATTTTTTAATGTACAAAGATATTTAAAATACACTTCTTTTAAATTGAAAATCATTGACATTCTCAAAATTTTTTATATTTCATATTTTTCAGAATTAATGCAGGGATGAAAGCCTTTCATTAGCTGGTAATTATATTTCATGCCTTGTGCAATTTGCTTTATACCAACAACTGAATTATGTGTGTATGTATTTCGCAAACTGGCGAATAAATCTGCGACCGAATATCATTCATGTTGCTAACGCATATTGTCAACACACGCTGACAGAAACTGCGTACGTATTTACATTCACACACGGGAAAAACGATACGTCAATCAGTTTCACGCAACAGGAAGAAAGCCAAACAAAGTTAACAAACGCATCGATGCCAATGATAGTAATAATGACCATGTATGAAAAGGATTTTATTGTCATTATTACACTGATGATTTTAATGATGATGCATCAACGTGATATCAGATGTGAGGCCAGCTTGCAGATACACCATCAGTCAACAACTACTCAAAATGATTATCTCATCAATGAAATGCCGCAGGAGAGAATGGATCAACTGAAAATACCGAAGGACCAAACACTGGTAGTACGACTACCATCCAACACTCTTCTCAAATACAATTCGTACAAAGATGTATCCATACTACATTTTCGTATGCCTCCCGACACACGACGAGCTATGTTTACATTTAAAGCTATTGAAGAATCCAAAAGTGCCTTTCGTAAGTAATTTCATTCTGTCCTTGTTACATTTTCATTTAGAATAAATTTAACAAATTAAAATTTGTGTGTGTCTTTCAGAACGCAAATGCAAGCCTCGAGATGTAACATTGCACCTAAAGGCCAGTAGTTATCCTGTGATAAGTCCCGAAAATATAACATTTCCTAGAAATTTTCTTAGTGCTGATGAAAGGTAAGTTTTTTCATATTTAAGTTAACAATTTTTATGTTTTCATTGGTTTCCCGGTTTAATGACAATTTGAAAAATAGAAAAATTCATAAACGAATAAAGGCCCAAATAGACTACACAAGCGGCTTATCAAACATACTTTTTTCATTCGCACACACAATACACAAACATTGCTCGTACAAACACCGATTTTTTCACTTTTTTGTGGACTTTCAAAGATACAGATATCAATTTTTCTTAAAAATGTAAATTTTTTGAAAAATTTGTTATTGATGAATATAAACCATACAAATGGTTTGTCAAAAATTCAATATGTTTGTGTAAAAATCAAAATTTTTTAATTTTTGTACAAACAAACAGCAAGCATTTGTACAAACACGAAACACCCTCCTACACTACACAACAGGCTTGCACAAACGTAAAATATTGGTATGTTTGTCAAGCCGCTTGTGTAGTCTATTTGGGCCTTAATAATTTTGTTATAATTCAGTTAATAAAAAGTTAATTTTTATATCGTCACCTATAAAGGGCGTAACAAAAAAAAAAAAAATTTAAAAATTTTACAGGAGAAACAAAAAAATAAATAAATTGAAAGCGATTGTTATAAAAACGACATTTTCTAACAAGTATTGTATCCCAATATCGATAAACACTTTTGAATATAACTGTACCACCAGACATTGTCTATTATGTTGCTTTTTAGGACTTTCTGACTTGTGGAAATTACTAATAATTAAAGTCGGTGTTTTTGACAATAGACTTCTAAAAATTTGCAACAGCGTGTACGTATTTTGATACAGTGGACCATTTTTAATAAAAAAATCGAAAATCAGGTGACGATATCTATGTAAATTACAATATTTTTTGTCATTTTAATAAAAAATAAAACAAAATAGAATACCATAAAAATATTTCTTTGGAGACATTTTTATATCGTTTTCCCCACCTTTGGTTTGTTCATGAATTGAGGTATTCCTTTTTAAATTTAAAAGATTTTGGAAAAAAAAATTGTAAATACGTAATCGAAGGACCACGTGAGTGAGAACTGACAATTTTTCACTTAAATTTTAAAAACTGTGGCTTTAAAAGCGCTAACAATTTTTCAAAAAAGTGTCATAACTTTTTGCTTTTTTAACTTAATTAAAATGTTATTTTTGGATAAAATTCATCAATCGTTGAAATAATCAAACAATCCTTTTGTGAAATTATGTAAAAATTTTATTTAAATTTTTTTTTACATAATTTTTTCTAAAAACAAAATTAAGAATCTTATAAAAGAAAAAATGTATCTTTATTTTTTTTAATTTTTATATCGTCACCTAAAACGCAAACGGTCCTATCTAACAATTTTAAAATTTTACAGGAGAAGCAAAAAACTACATAAATTGAAAATTTTGTTTCTATCAGCGCGATTTAATTTTATTAAATAAACAATTTGTTTAATAGAGAAACCTATAAATGTTTATATAGATAGCGCCTTTTGTTTTGTGTTAATAAAACGCTTATTTTGGTCGGAGGAGACCTAATTTTTTGTTGGAAATTTGTTTTGATATAAGATATTGGAATCAACAATAAAATCGATTTTGAATTTTTTGTTAGTTTCAGGTGACGATATGTATTATGTGCCACATTGGTTTTCTAGCCTTCCTTAAAAATTTAGATTAGGATTTCTACTAGTCTATGAAATATGACCAAAAATATCCATAAACATCTACAAAAAGGGATCAAAATAATAAAATTTATTTTTATTTAATATATTTTTTTTTTTTTCATTTTTCCTCGGAACATTGTTGTGGTTCTAAAATACTTCTAAAGAGTTTTCAAGGAACTTGTTCTTTGACATTAGTTATACATTGATACTACACTAGTTCAATGGAACACATACTAGTTCCAAAACAACTTCTTACAATCAGTTGAAAAAATTAAAAATTCATACACTTATTTTTATTGAAATTGAAAACGCATTCATATCTTTATTTCTGCATAAAATTGAACTACATATAAGGAATCAAACAGACCCTAATTGATTGTACCGGGAGACTGTGAAGATAGCTGCTGGTAAGATAATTGTAAGTAAGTTTTCAAAATAAAATTTGGTACAATAACAATAATTCCTCAACAGTTTCTCCAAATTAGACTTAATCTTAATAATTTCGAACAAAAAACGCTGAAAAAATTAACTATTTTTAAATAAAGAGTATACGTTCTGTAAAGCTTCCCGGGAACTAGTTCCTCGGTTGACAAATTCGAAAATTTATTCATTGATTAAAGAACTAGTTCCGGAACCGTTTCAAAGAAATTCGAACAAAAATCATTGGTCTCAACGCCAAAGTAGAACGAGTTCAGGCTATAATCATGCGTTCTAGAATTAATGTGGAACTAATACAATTTTTGCTGAGTAAATTGTATAAATTTTTCACATTTTTTTAAAAGATACATGGACATTTTTGGTCCTATCTCGGAGACTAGTAGAAATCAAAATCTAAATTTTTAAGGATACATAATTTTTTTTATTATACATAATTTTTAAGTTAAATTATTATTATACGTTTGTGCTGATGTTTGTAACGCGTAAAAATATTGGTCCTACACCCACCTTAAAGTATACCGATCGACTCAGAATTACTTTCTGAGTCGATAAAGTTTGGACCATACGAGTTTTTTGCCACAAGGACAATGCCTATTGAAAATGGTTGAAATCGGTCCATTATTTCACCTAGCCGCCATATAACCTTACATTCCGATTTAGGGTTTTTAACTCATAACTACGTCAAATATACTACTATCTCACCAAATATTGGCACAACTAAGGTGGGCATATGGGTCTAAATGACCTTGCCAAGTTTTATAATGATCGGCCGTCGTTTGATCCTAGCCCCAATACAAACCCCACTTTAAAAAATAACTTAAACGTCCAAAAATTTACTTATGACCGAATTCCGCATAACTAGCCTTTATATAAAATTACATCCCTCTTCCCAATTTGTTGAGGATCGGCCTATATTTGACCCTAACTCCCATATAAAGCTTCTTTTGGAAATTTAGTTTTTCAACAATAAATTGCTTAAATACATCGGAATTAAGGTAAAATTCAACATAAAAGTTTCTTTATTTAAAATAAATAAATTTCAAAAATACCCATGGTGTAGGGTATCATATAGTCGGCCATGTCCGACTATACTTTCCAGCTTGTTTTATTTATATAAACATATTTTTGCAATCAATATATTTTATCTACCTGTCAAATTTAATTTGAAAGTAAACTGCAACTGACCAAATAGTACTTATGGAAATACATACGAAAAGATTCAAAAACAAACGAAAATTCATTCTATAAATTGAATTGTCAACTTCCATTCCTAAATATCGTAAAACTTTAAGATTTACTATCTATTACAGAAAAATATTGTAACATAGTACGACAACAAAAAAAACTGAACACAAACACAATGTTACACGATTGACTGCAGTTTACAAACTTCCTTAAGACATCCGTTTCCGCTATCAATGATATTTCTTTATTTTTTATTTCTCCTTTCCATTCTACGTTCTTGTTTTCTTTTTTGTACTTCACTAACTTGTAAACACAGATATCAATGCGTTTCTGTTGCTGGAAATGCCTCCAGCTTATTTTCAAATGCACAAATACTATGTACTTACATACATACATACATATATACTTATGTATATGTACATTAGGGTCATTACTTTTTTTGGGCGGCAAAATACCCCAGCACTACCTTATAGCCAATATTGTCCTGATAGTAAAAGGCTATTTTTAAGGTAAATTTTGTGAAAAAACTTCGCGCAGCGAAAGCAACTTCTAAAATGCATTTGTTCGTTATTTTACCAAAACTATTTTAATAATTCTATAATAATACTATTATATATAATTTGCAATATTGTAGTGATTTTTTAGAAATTATATAACAAGGTTTTAAGGAGTAATATTATCTTTAATATAATGTAATAAAAATGCAAAATTCATTTAGAAAAAGTAATACATATTTATACAAAACTTCATCGCCTTTGGTGCCGGAACATTTTTAACGACGGCGAAAAAACATCTGTTCAAGCAATTCAAGGCCTAGATATGGTATTTTTGATATTTGCAAAAAGTCATGACCCTAATGTACATATACATATACACTATCGGACAAAATAAAGTGCAAAAGTACTAATACTATATTCTATCAGCGACAAAATCTGTTAAATGATTATTGAATATAGAAAATTTTTTTAAATTCGTTTAGTTAATATACAATGCTACAAAAATAACAATAAAACAAAATTATTGTACTAAAAACTTTTCTGTATAACGTCAAAAATTAAAGTAAAATCACTTTTTTATCGGACAAAATAAAGTGTAAATTTTATATATCATTATTTAATTTTATTGTATATCAAAATTTTGTATCTATTTTGGTTCTGTTTTGAATATTTGGATCTACTTAAACCATTGTGGTATTTTTTTACCATTATTATTCCCAATCGCTTTCCCTTCCTCTTGTTTTCCCGCATATGATTATTTTCAAAAGGAATCCATTTTTATTCACTACTTCATCAGAATTTTTTATCAATTGTGGTCCAAAATTAATCTATTGGATTTAGGGCGGTGCTCTGAGCAGGTTTTTCCAATTTTTCAGTGTTTTTATTCGTACAATAATGATATTTAGCCTTTGTTGTGTGTTTGAAGTCATGAATCTGTTGAGACATCAAGTCTCCCAAGACCATTTTTACGCCATTTATTTCAGGATTTTTATTAAAAATGCTCGTGTATTGCTCATTTGTAATTACTAACTCCATTTTCACTAAGATTCCCGCCCCTAAAGTTGAATAATGTACCAATACTGATAGCCCTCCACGCTAATGTTTAAAAACCAGGGTATTGTTTTTCAAGTTTTGTATATTAAATGGCTTACCTCTCACTCATTGTCGACATTTAAAATTTTTCGATACAAATAGGAACTCATCTGACCAACTACATAAATTTGAGCTAAAAA